TAGCAGCTATACTTAATAAAAAGAGCGCCACACGCGCCCCATGATGATATCATCTGGGACAGTTAAAAAAAAAAAAAAAAGAATTGATCTTATTGTGACTTATAAGAAAAAACTTATTCTTGTTCAATGTAAAAATACTGAAATATCTATATCTGTTCAAATTGTATGAGGTTTTGAATCAGCTATTTTAAGATTTTCATTAGATTCTCTTGAAATTATTGTTTATAATAATGAAAAATTAAAAAAAAAATAGCAACACCTAGAGCAAAACATTGGATACAAACATCTAAAAGAAATATCGAAATTTGTAATGAAGATCAATTTGTAGGAATTATTAAGAATTTCTACAAATCAGATGATGATGATTATATAGAATTAGTTTCTTTTTTTTTTTTAAATATTAACGGTGAGGCCATTATATAGAATTAGTTAATTTCAAAGCAGATAGTTTTAATATATTAAGTTTATTATGAGAAAATGTTTCTATTGATAAGATAGTTATCAAAAAAAATAATATAAATAAATTTTCCCATTATTCACCTTACTAGTATCTGTTCAGTTTAATACTGAACAGATTTTTCTTTTTGTAACCTTTAAAACAATTGATTTACACACAAAATGTTAAAATTATTTGATGAACAAACTCAAGAACTCACAAGATTGAATGGTCTTTTATCAATCTTTGATAGCTATATAAAAACTATTAATGATGATAATAATCATTGCACTTCATATATGAGAATAGCATTAAAAATCCAATTAGAAAAATTGGGAGAATTCAATTTCAAATATTACAAAACTGAATTCGAAACTTCCAAAAAGAAAATCATAAGAATTATTAATCATAAATTAGATCCTGTATTAAATAACATGGTTGAACATAAATTTTATTCTACATCTAATAAGATTTATCAGGAGGTGTATGAGTTAATTACAAAAAATTGTTATTGGATGCTTAAATAATGTTTTATAGTTTAGTTAATAAGTTTTATCTGTTAAATTGTGATAATTTAACAAATGATGATAATTATTTTAATAATCTATTCAGTTATATGACTGAATAGATTTTTATTTGTGTAAAAATGATTTGATCTATACCAATTAAAGTTGTGGCTCTTATTTTATTTTTTATATTATTTGTTTTCTCTTGCATGTTTTTAACATCTAAGAAGAAAAAAAAAATAATTGTATTTACAAGAACCATCAGTGCAGAAAAAACATTTGTGGCAAATTTATTCTACTATTATTTGAAACAAAAAGAATATCTTGTTTTTCTGTTCAAAGAAGCTTCTTTTAAACTATCTGAAGAACTTAATTTATTTTATAAAAATAAAGAGAAGAATTGTTTTTTTTTCCAGAGTGTAATAACAAATTTCTACGAGAAAAGAGGTCAACTCACTAAATATTTGGATTATGATTATATTATTGAAGATTGTAGACACAAGGATATTAAGATATTCAATAAATTTCTAGTTGATAAATACAAAAAGGATTATATCAATAGAAAAGTTGATAAGATTGAATCTCTTCCTTCATATAAGGTTGTTTTTGTAAATCCTTCTCTCAAAACTACAATTGATCATAAAAAAAAATGAAATAGAAAAGGTGAGAAATGTCCTATTCAATATTTAAAAAATCTTTACGATTTTTATTAAACCAATATAGATGTGATTTATAATGAACATATTATGTTCAAGAATAAAAATGTTTTATGTAAAGATTGTCTTAAATTTTCTCAATGTAAAATGAATTGTGATTTCAGCTCCTATGAGAGTCTTTTTGAGCAACTGTTATAAAAACATCTATCTTAACAAATATTCAGTTTAATAAACCAAATATTTTTTCAATTTGGTAAATAATATTAAAAATGAACTATAATAATTTATCAAGTTCTTCAAATCTTTTAAATGAAAATTGTGATGAGTTTACATTAAAGAAATTGATAGAAAATAATAAGAGAAAAAAGTCTTTGTTTCTGTCGATTTATTGAACTATTTTATACAGTTTGAATCATGATATAGAGCATAATGAAATACAAAGAACTTTATTAATCAACCAAATAGATATCACTATCAGATGTCATATTGCAAAAAATACTTTTTATCAAAAAGATGTAATTGAAAATATTAAAGAGCTCTTGAAAATTAAGCAATTTATAACAGAATTATCAAAAGATGATATTTTAAAATATTTAGATAAAGTTATTAGGAAAAATGTAATTTCTGACAATATTATTATTATTAATAACATTATTTCTTAAATTTTTTATTTTTTATTATCATTGTGAAACAATTTTTTTTTATTTTTCTTTAAATTATATTTATCTACTTAGTTATTAACCAAGTAGATTATTTAATATGTAATTCAAGATGGATTTAAATGAAGAAATAAAAGAAACTTTTAAAATAATCAAATGAAGAAGATTCTTTTTACTATAATTTATCGAACAATACTTTACAATTTAGATTGTAAGATGAACTTAATGAGTTTAAAAGAATTTCAATCATTGATCGAATCAATATTCAAATCAATATTTTGATAGAATGTCAACCTTATTATACAGAAATCTTTCAAGAAAATATTAAAAAAATCATAGAGATAAAAGAAGAAGTTAGAAATTTATCGAAAGATGATTTATTGGAATATATTGAAACTGTTTTTTATCTTAATGTTATTGCAGATATTATCATAGTTAATAAGAATTAGTTTATATTTATTTATTTTGTTAATTATTTCTATCTAGTTAATTGACCAGATAGATTTTTTTGTATGTAATTCAAATATGAATCAAGAAAAAAATCTATCACAGATAACTATCATATTTACGATTCTGGGAAAGTTAAATGTAAACTTTGTACAGAATATTTGATACTTTTTTAATCAATACTATGAGAGCTCATATTGAAACTCAACATCATAAGTTTTATCTTGTTAAACAAGCTAACTCATTCTCAAGTTTCTGGTAAAGAAACTTTATCTGATATTTTAAAATTGGAAATTACAAGCATTGAAACAGAAGAAAATAGTGTTTTAGATTTTAAAAATTTAACAATTAAAGGACCATTTAGTATTTATTTTTCAAATGATTAATATTTTTATTATTTAATAACTAACATCTATCTAGTCAATTGACCAGATAGATTTTTTAATATATAATACCAGATAGATTTTTTTGTATATAACTCAAAATGTACAATTGTTCAGAATTAATAGAACCTCTTGATACAAACAAATTTTATATATATGATGTGATAGATTCAGCAAAATTTAACCAAAAATATATATTATCATTACTAACAGTTCATTTAGATGGAACCAAATTCACAATAAATGTATCAATAGATTCAGTATTTTTTGATATAAAGTTACATTCAGAAAATGATTTAAGAAAATACAATAATGAATTTGAACCAGAATGTTATAAAAAAATATATAGATAACCATTTGATTCAACAGAGAAATTCACGTTTTTATGATTACATTACAATACTTTAAAAAAAGAAAGGAAGCATTGAAAAAAATTGAAACTAAAAGAGAAGAAATTCCTTTTGAAGAAATAGAAAAATTTGATCGATACTATGACACATATTCAGACAATCAAACATGCTATTACAGAACAGTTGCATATGAGAATGATTTTGAATTAGTAGAATGATATAAAATAAATACTTCAAAAATATTTAACATGTAAATTACATTTAATGATATTAAAAAAATCGATTATTTTAAAGAACCAAAGCTCTTATTACTTTATTAGGACATTGAAACATCATCATCATGAGGTCCAGGTTTTTTTCCTATAGGTGAGAAAGAAGATGATTATGTATACATGATCCAATTTGATATCATATTTTACAGTGAATCAATCCCTCGAAAGAGATTTTGTTTATCAACTATTCCTATAAACAGCCAAAAATTTCATTCAAAATATGATTTAACAGAATTAATATTCATTGAGCTTCAAACTTAAGAACAGCTTTTGCTAAAATTTGCTGAATTAGTAGAAATTATGAACCAGAATTTGAGATTGGTTACAATATAGGCCAATTTGATTGGAACTTTATACTTAAAAAAGCCAGACTATTAAATATAGATGATGAATTTATTAGACTCTTAACTAAAACTAAAACAACTCTTTAGTTCAATATACAACAAGTAACAGTACGAGTTATTGATTGTAACATTGATAAAGATAATTTGAAATATGAATTTGCAGAAATAAATATAAACAATCAAAAGATCAAGATATCACCAAATGAGACTATGAAATGTGAATTCATTTGAATCTCACAAACAGTATTTCTTGATTTTCTGGTCTGGGTTAAAAAAACATTTCAAACAGAGATTACCAATAATTTCAATGCAGTATTAAAACATTGTGGCCTTTCTGGAAAAATTGATTTACCATATGTGCTTACAAAAAACAGCTCAGATCTACGATACATGTTTGTTTATATAAATGTAATAAAGTTTAAAAACAACAATCAGATGTTAGAAAAATTATCTGATCAGCTGTCAAAATTAATAAACATTTCTTTTTCTGATTGTTTGAATGCATTTCAAGTTTCAGAATCAATGTTGGAAGAGTATGTGATAGAGTTAGCATATTATTGTTCAGTTGATACATTGTGATTATATGAATTGAACTTAAAGTGAAAACATAATTGATGATTATATACAAAGAGCCAGAATTGCATATATGACAATTTCTAATGTTTTTACTAATGATATTGGATGTTTAATACGAAATTTGCTTAGCAGATATGCATCACCTAAAAAAATTTTAGTATCATTATAACACAAGGGAATTGTTGAACAAGGAATATATAATAGAGGTCTGGTCATTCCACCAATTAAGAACATTAAAAGACCTGTGGCAGATGTTGATTTTACTTTATATTACCCTTATGCTATTATACAAAACAACATATACTTGAAAAACGTATACCAAAAGATTCAACTAATCCTAATTTAAATGTCGTAATTGACAATGACATTGTTTATAGTAAATTTTTACCATATGAAAATAATATAAACAACATGAGTATTATGTCTTTTATATGTAAAGAATTATTAGAAAAATGAAATAATGTAAAGCAAAAGATAAAATTGTTCAAGAATGATGAAACAAAACTTTTATACTACACTTCATTATCAAATGCATTAAAAATATTTGCAAACACTGTGTATGGTGAGACAGATTACAAATATTTACCATTATATCATAAAGAAGTTGCTTCATCAGTTATAGCATTTTGTAGAACAACATTAAAGATCATGGTTGATTTCGTGAAAGACCAAAGATTTATAGTAGTTTATGGAGACACAGATTCTATATTTTATTTATTGCCAGAATCATATTTCACAGAACTTGATACTAAGTACTCTGACAGATTATTATCAAAAAAAGAGTATTGGGAGGAGCAGATCAAATTAACAATATTACACTCAAAGATACTAGAAACAAAAATTAATGAATACTTGAAACAGATTATGAAATCCACATACTTGAAGATAGTCTATAAAAAAACCATGTACCCCTTTTTAATTTTTAGAAAAAAGCATTATGTTACAATTACTTATTCAGATGTGCCAAATTTAGACAATTTAAATTTACTATTGAAAGGTCTCAAAACTATCAAACATAATGTGCCAAAGTTTTACAAACTAGTAGCAAAAGAATTAATATATTCTTCATTTGGATTCAATAAAGATTTCTCAATCAGATAAGAAGAAATAAACCAAAAAAAAATTAGTCATTCAGATAATCACTAACTAGTCAATAAAAAAGAAATACTATTAGACTTGTTTGTTTTTACAGCCAAGTTTGACCCAACATATGCTTTAGTATCAGCAGTTGATTTTGTAAGATTATTAAACAAAGATCTGTCAAAAGAAGAACAAAATAAAATACTTAAGCAAATTACAAAATCTGATACAAAAAAAGAAAACAAGATGGTTAATAGTTTTATTGCTAGATTGAAACACCCTATTAAGCCAAGACGATTCTACTATTATGTAAAATTTCTATCATGTGTATCAAATGTTTCATACAAAATGATTTTAACAAACCATTTCACTCCAGAAAAAGATACTATTGATATCATATACTATTTTTACAGCTTACAAGACATTGTAGCTCATCTTTTAGGCTATGAAAAGAAGCAAGCTCTCAAAAAAATAAAGGAAATATTTGATGCTGAGAAACTTAAAAAGCAATGAATAATAACAGAATTTTTGTTGAAGATAACCAACAAAAAATAACTGAGTTTGTTAAAACAATATCTGATATAACTAAACAAAAACCAACTGAAGAATTATACAAACAGGAAAACAATAAAAAACAAAAAACTTAATTAAAACTAGACAAATTTTATTACTCTTATATATCACATAAACATAAATTACAAGCTGATGAACAACCAGAATCAAGTAAATGAAAACATATATAAAGGTAAAAAAAATTCTTTCTTTCTTAATATTAACAAGATGCAATACCAATTATTTGATAACAACTAGATCAAAATCATAAATTATGTTGAGATAACAAAACTTTATATGAAGATGCAAAGATCTTTTTCACTAATAAACTTTC